CCCACCCGTGCCCACACCCCCCGTGCCCCCCAGCATCGGCACCACCCGGAAGGGCATCGGGCCGGCCTACTCCTCCAAAGCCGCCCGCACCGGCCTGCGCGTCTGTGACCTGCTGTCGGACTTTGAGGAGTTTTCCGCCAGGTACTGTGCGGCCGCGCCGGGGGTCGTGCGGGGCCAGGCCACGGGCCTGAGGGTCGTCCTCTCGCAGATTCAAGAACCTGGCCCGCCAGCACCAGTCCATGTTTCCAGCGCTGGAAGTGGACATCGAAGGCCAGCTGAAGAAGCTCAAGGTACAGCCAGGGGCCAGAGGCAGCCGGGCAGACCCTGCCACAGCCCCACACCTTGTGGACAGTCAATGGACCGTCCCCAGGGTCCTGGCCACGGGCATGTTGTGGGGAGCTGGCCGCCTGTGTGAGCCCTGGGCTGGCTGTGGTCAGGGTGTCACCCTGGAGGCCAGGTGACCATGGGCTACCTGCTTGTACAGCCCTCATGGCCTCCGCACTGAGGAGGGACTCAGCGGCCCCCTGGGGCGGGGCGGGGCGGAGGCCTGAGGAGGGGCAGGGCCCTGTGGTTCCGGCCCCTCCAGCTCTGCTCTCTGGCCTGGGGGAGGCCAGGCCGCTGCCCACCAGGTGGGCGTGGCATAGGCCTGCGCAGAACTGGCGCCTGTCCTGGGCCAGCTGGCGGCCGGGGGCCCTGCGCCCACCCCAGCGCATTCTCCCACCAGACTAGCACCCCAGTTCCAGGTGACCTAATTCTCGCGGCCTTGGCTGGCAGCCCCCGCTGGGCCTGGCCTGCAGACAGGCCTTCTCCGGCACCCCCAAAGTACATGTGTTCAGAGGCCAAGCCTCCTCTACCGGTCCCTGTGGCCAGTCAGTCGTGGCCCAGGGCCCAGGGCCGCCCCTTCCTCGCGGGCAGGTCCTCTGGGGCTTCCCCTGAGCCCGCAGAGCCCGCTGGCAGGATGTGCAGGTGGGGGAGGGGGCGCCCACAGAACTACCTGCCGCCCCCCTGCAGGGCTTGGCCGAGCGGATCCGCCCCTTGGTCCGAGACGGGGTGCACTTCATGTATGAGGCACTTCACGGGCCCCCCAAGAAGATTCTGGTGGAGGGTGCCAATGCGGCCCTGTTAGACATCGACTTCGGTAGGCTGGCAGCCCGCTCTCGACCGGGCTGCAGGACGGTCTGGGGGCCCAGAGCTGAGGGGCCGGTGGGGGTCACCCCAGCAGGAGGCAGCCCAGTGGAGGCCCCCTCTCCAAGGGAGCAGCCTGTGCTCTCCCACAGCCCCAGCCCACCCTGGGGTGGAGCCACCTGGCCCTGCCCAGGGGGCCCTGGCCGAGGTGACCAGCCCGGGTGTCCCCGCCACTCCTGCACCTGCCTTGCAGGCACATACCCGTTCGTGACCTCATCCAACTGCACTGTGGGGGGCGTGTGCACCGGCCTGGGCATCCCCCCACAGAACATAGGGGAGGTCTATGGCGTGGTGAAAGCCTACACCACCCGCGTGGGCATCGGCGCCTTCCCCACAGAGCAGATCAACGTGAGTGCGGGCCGGCGGGGCGGGGCCTGCGGGCTCAGCCAGGGACCTGCCTCACGGCCTGACCCCCCAGGAGGTCGGAGACCTGCTGCAGAACCGTGGCCATGAGTGGGGGGTGACCACAGGCAGGAAGAGGCGGTGCGGCTGGCTGGACCTGGTCACCGTGAGATACGCCCATATGATCAACGGCTTCACTGCGTAAGGGACCTGGCGGGCCACGGGCCCAGGGCCTGGGCCTCGCGGGGCCTGCGTCCTGGGCATCCTTGCGCCCACCGCATCCCCGGGGGCTCGCCAGCGGCTGTTCCCGCCTGGGCGGCGCCTGAGTGTGGGGGGGGGTGGACGAGTGCAGCAGAGTGCTGGGCCAGGGCAAGCAGGGTTGGGGCGCCACGCTGGCTGCGCAGGGTCGTTGCTTCCCAGGCGAGAGGTGGGCACATGAGCAGTGGGCACCGGCCCTGGCACAGGGAAGCAGAGACCCCAAATGTGGCCTGGTTGGGGTAAAGGAGGGCTGGCCCCAGGGCCAGGACAGGCGGACTTGGCCTGGCTGGCAGAAGTGGCTCCCGGGACCGCCCAGCTGGTCTCTGCCCCGGGGCAGCCGAGCCACACGTGTCCTGGCGACTTTGGGACAGGCTCGCGTTGACGAAGCTGGACATCCTGGACGCCCTGGACGAGCTGAAGGTCGGCATTGCGTATAAGCTGAATGGGAAGCGGATCCCCCACTTCCCAGGTACGCATAAGAAGGCGATGGTCAGCCCGCCCAGAGCCAACATGACCGCAGCGGTGCCAGCCCTAGTCTGCCCTGGCCCTGGACTGGGGGTGTGGCTCGTGGGCAGGAGGTGCCCTGGTGCTTCCGGAGGGGGACCTGCCCCCTCCCAGCACTGGGCGAGCTGCCCCAGCCTTGGGCATGTGGTACCCACCCATCAGCGCCGCTTGGGTCCCCTCACGACCCCACACGCCTGGTCATGCTGGCCCCGGTCTGAGGGGGCACAGCAGAAGTGGGGTGGGGACTGGGGCCAGGACCCCCGCAGCAGGCTGCCTGGCCCAGCAGCCTGCCTCCAGCAGGGCGTCCCAAGCTTCTGGGTTCCCGGGCCCTCCCGGGCCCCTCCTCCACAGGGCCACCACAGATGTTCTGAGGGAGCGAACGCAGGTCTGGGCCGGTGCCCCGGTCTGGATGGGGTACTGCAGTGTCTGTGAGCCCCTTGCCCCATGGAAATCAAAAAGGCCGCTGCCCGCAGGGCCCACCCCCGGCGCCCGCAGCACCCGCACCTGTCCCCACAGCTAACCAGGAGGTCCTGCAGAAGGTGGAGGTGGAGTACGAGACCCTGCCGGGGTGGAAGGCCGACACCACGGGCGCCCGCAAGTGGGAAGACCTGCCCCCGCAGGCCCAGGGCTATGTGCGCTTCGTGGAGAACCACGTGGGCGTGGCAGGTGGGGGCAGCGCAGGGGTTGCGGCGCCTTGGCCCCGCCCAGCCCAGGCTGGACCGCCCAGGCTGACCCGCCCTTCTTCTCTGCAGTCAAGTGGATCGGGGTCGGCAAGTCCCGGGAGTCAATGATCCAGCTGTTCTAGGCAGAGCGCCTGGCGCGGCTCGCCTGGGAACCTGGAAGCGCACCTGCGCGGCCGCCCTGCAGCCTCGGGGTGACTGCCCTCCTCGCGCCCCAGCAAGCTGCGTCCGGCCTGTGGTGGGGGCTGGGCTGGCGGGCAATAAACCGGGTCCGGTGGGCAGCGCCGCATCCTACTGGCTCCCGTGTCCTGGCTTCTCGACACCAAAGGTGCAGGCCATGGGGTGGCTGCCAAGGCTTGGGGTTCAGCTGGAGCGGTGTCGGGCAGGCAGAGCGCCTCCAAGACGTGACATTCCAGAATCCCCACCCCTGAACCCCAGGCCTTCCCCTGCCCCCCCAAGTTTGCAGGTGTGGGTGCCCTCTGTATACCCCCAAAGCTGCAAGCACCGTGAACAACTTCAGAGGCTGGGGTAAATCCAGAAAGCCACCTTCACGGCCACTCAGAGAAGGGGGCAGGCACAGGGAGAGACAGGGACCACCTGGGGCTGGGAGCCCTGGGCTAGAGGAACGGGGCAAGGGACGCCCTCGCCCAGGGCCCCAGCCTGGCAGCAGCCCCACCAGACCTGCTGGGCGGCCGGTCTCAGACCTCCGGAGGGCCAGCAGCACTCCTGGCCACGCCTGTGCCATGTGGCCTTTGGTGACTTGAGACAAGGAAACATCCACACAGCAGGGCCTCGCTGGCCCCCTCTGCCACTCGCCCTGGGGTGGAGGGGCGCACAGCAGAAGCCTCGCCTGCCTGCCTTGTGTTCCCAAAAGGCAGGAGGGTGGAAAGGAATGCCCCGAGGCAGGTTCCTGCTGGGGAGAGGGCTGCCCCCATCATGCGGGACCCTGGCTGTCCTGCCTGCCCAGGATGGTGCAGTTTTCCCCGGGGGGTGGGGGGGGGCCCTCCCGCGGCCCCTGCAGTGAGAGGGCAGGCTTACAAGGGCCCCTCAGGTCTGCCTGGGAGGGGCGGGCGGCAGTACTGCCCCAAGGCCCCAGATCTGTTTCCGGTCGCTGTTCCAAACTCTGCTCAGACCGGGTCTGCGTCTATCCGCACTGTGTTGTCGGGTGTCTGCACACTTCCAAGGAAGCCATGCGTCTGGGGGGATAATTCTCCCCCAGCACCATGCATCTGGAAGGGGCAGGCTCGCAGCATCCCCCACCTCTGGGGCCGAGTGACCCCGGGATGCCGCACCTGCGCTTGGCACAGGGCGCCCTGACCTGGAAGCTAAGCGTCCATGAGGGCTTGGCGGCCACCCACAGGAGGTGCTGGCCGCAGTGACCTGTGGCCATGCCCAGGAGAAGCCTGACCGAGAAGGCTCCGAGCAGCCCGGGGCCGGGGAGGAAAGCCGGCGAGTCTCCCACGAGTCTCCCCACGCTCAGCCAGAGACAGCGCGCAGGGACGGCCTCGAGTGGGCGCGCGCGGGCGTTGGACTCTCGAACAGCAGCAGCGCCCCGGCGGGCCAGAGCGGCGTGTGCCCAGAGGCCGGGGCTGCGCGCCCACGCGCCACTACCCGCGGGACGGGTCGGGGTCGCTCCCCCGCGCTTAGGGCCCGCAGGCGGCTCCGGGAACCTCGGCGCCCCCCGTACGCTCGTCTCCACGCCACAACACGGCAGAGCCCGGCCCTGCGCCGCGCGGCTGCCCTGACCGCGCCTGGGAGCCGAACAGGGCCCGGGGGCCCGAGCAGGACACCGGGCGCTACCCGGGGCC